TCCGTGACCGACAATACTTCGCCTGGATCTGCGGCCAGCTCGAGGAGCTCTGCTTCACGACCTTCCCCGACTCCGTCGCCGGCGACGTCCCGGCCGTCTTCGCCCAGCCCTAGACCCGCCGCGGACCCATGGACCGACGGGTCACACTTTTCCGAAGATCTCCGGCCGTACTGAACGCGCTCGCCTAGGTCAGGGGAGGGCCACCTTCCCCCTTCAACGACCAGGGCGCGGGGCCACTAAGGAGAACTCTAGAGAAGAACTCGCTGTTAGGGCCTACGCGGAGGGCCTCGCTCCCCGGTCCGCGTCCGCGGACGCGTCCGGCGCGCCACCGCTCGGAGCCGACGCGGCGTCGGTGATCGTTCCGAGGCGCCGACGCTCGTCGTACACCTCGCCGGCGCGGAACCCGCGCGCGTCGGCCCGCCCGGGCCCCGCGCGGTCCCCCGCCGCCGGGCCCGCCCCGCGGCGCCGAAACGCCGGTCGGGAAGACGCGCGCCGCGGTGCGGTCGCGGGCGCTGGCCGCGTGTCGACGACTTCGACGCCGTCGCACGTATGTGGGAGGGCGTCGGGGGCGCCCAGAGCGACGGGCTGGCGCGAGGCTTTGGCTCGGCGGCCGCCGCCCGGAGCGCGCGCTCGGCCGGCGGCGGCCGGCGGCGGGTCGGCGTTCCGGTCCCCGCCGAGGGCCTCGAGCGCGCCGCGGCGCTGGCCCGCACCCCGGCCGCGGACCCAAGGCCCTACGGCGCCCGGCCCACGCCCTGGCACCCCTCGGCGCCGCGTCGAGCGCTTTCGCGCGGCGCCGAAACGGCGTTCGAGGCCCGCGCGCGCGACGCCGCTGCGACGAAACAGAGCGTCCGCGCGGCGAGGCCGTCGCACATGGGCGTGCGATCGGGCCGTCGACCGCTCGCGACGGCGCGGCACCGCTGGTCGCTCGCAGGCCGCCGCCAAGATGGCCCGTGCGGAAACGACGCCTTTAGGCCCTCGTGCGCGCGTCGCAGCGCGCGCCGACGCGGCAACAAGTTGCCGGCGCAATGCGCCTGCTCATGCTGATCACGTCGGTACCGGGCACGCGTTGGGAGGCGACGCAGGGCGCGAGCACGGACGGCGCCAGTGGCGAAAGGGCAATAGTGCACCTTGCATGGGATGCGTAGTATCCAGGGGTTCGATGGCGACCCGGCCGGTACCCGTCGCCCCCGGCGTGAGAAGCCAGCCTCACACGCCGAGGGGCAGTGCCCCGATCAACGTACATCTAGGCGCGCCTAGATTAACTAATTAATTAATATTAATCGATTACTCGGGGCCCGGGTTCACATTAGTCCTCCGTAGAGGCTGTGCGTCGACCGCGCGCCGCTTCGTCACGTTGATGGGCAACAAGAAATATATAGGCCAACACTAACTAGAGCCTAACAGTATTAAATCCGGCAGCAGCGTATGGGCGCGAGTCTTTGACGCGCCCTATGTGCGAACAAAATTATGTGTGCTGGGGGGGGTCCGAGGCGCGCGCGCGCCGCTGCAGGCATGTAAGTCGCGTTTTGGCGGGTACGCGTGGGCGGGCACGCGTCAGGGGGCTTTTGCGCGCACGTTTCGCGACCTCAACGGCGGCTTCGAGCGCCTTCGATGCGCTCAACACCTTCGGCGCCACCCCCCGAGGCGCGCGGCGGGCGATAGACTCTGAGGGGGGCGGGCGACGCGATCCACCCCCTAAAACGGCGCGAGAGCGCGCTCAAAGCCGGCGCCGGCGCGCGCGAGACGGTGATGCGCGTGCTCCGAGCTCTTGAGCGTCGAACAGTTTGGACCGCCGATTTGGCCTAACTAAGTTACTTGGCCGGGGGTCGGTGTTCGCCCGACATGCGACTCGCGACTCGCGAACCTCGACACCTACCCCTCTGCTCACACATAGGTCTTCCGAAGTCCCGCCCCCCCATCAGCCAGCCCCGACGCGTGCGGGAGTACGAGTGTACACGCGCCTGCGGGGCGGCGCGCGTGAGTCTCGAGATTTATCTAACTCATCGAGTCCATAGCCTAGATAGGGGTGCCATACGGTCGACTGTGCCGCTAAAGAAACGCGCCGCGGACGAGGAGCTCGTCCTCACGTTTCTCGACGGGTGCCCGCCCCCCCCCGACGTCACCGGGGCGCTCGGTCGCATCCCCGCGCCGTGACAGAAGTATGCGATTAAACGGCCCAGTTCTTGCCCGCTTGGCGGCGACGGCGTCGAGCCGGTCGGGCACGGGCGAGTGGCCTATGGGGGTCGGCCCGGCGACGTCGTTACGGCGACGACGACCGGACACGTCCTCGGGACCGTGCTCAAAAGGTCCTTAGGACGACCCTCGGGGCCACTGCCTCCCCTAGCGCCCGCCCTTGGCCCCGACGTCGTCGTCGCTGTCGGAGAAGTCGGAGCCCGCGTCGGGGAGGTCGTCGAAGCGCGTGACGTCGTGGCGCGCGGGCGCCGCGTCGTACTCGTCGGCGAGGTCGCGCGCGTCCCGCGTCGCCGCGGCGGCGGCGGCCTTGGCCTCGGGGAAGGGCCGCGGCGACGGCGCGCCGCGGGGCGTCGCGAGGCCCCCGTAGTCGGGCCCCGTGGCGCGCCGGAGCCGCGCGCGGACGTCGTCCGCGAAGGACCGGCGCGCGCGCGCGAGGGCCGCGTGCGTCGCCGCGCGGTCCCCCCGGGCGGCGTCGGCGGCGCGCGCGCCCGACGCCGCGCGGTCCTCGGCCGCGCGCGCCGCGCGCCGCGCCGCGGAGCCGCGCGCGGCCGCGAGCCGCGCGGTCCGCGTCGCGCGGGTCGCGTCGAGCGCGCCGTCGGCGTCGCCCTCGAACTTGGCCAGGCCCGCGAAGGCGCGCTCGATGGCCGGGTCCAGCGCGTCGAGGCCGTCGTTCTCCTTGCCGTCCGCGGCCGCCGGCGGCCGCGGCGGCCGCGGCGCGTCGCGGAGGGCCTCGAGCAGGGCCTCGGCGGCGCCGGGCCCGTCGAGGTCGTGGC